TTTCCTTGGAGAAGTCTCTGACGCAGTTGATCAAGCGCTCTTTTAAGTGTAGGATGCTTCTGCTTAAGCACCTTAAAATCGAAGCCCTGGACGTCCGATTCATTAGCCAGATCCTCGTCAGAAGTAGTCCCCGCTTCGGGCTTGGGAGCATCATCCTGGCTCTTGTATTCCGTGGATTTCAAATGGAGTTCCACTCCGTAGCCTGAAAGTCGTACCGGTCGCTTGTCCTTCTTGGCCAATTGATGACGCAGGATGTAACGAATCCGGCCAGCATTGGCTTCTTTTTCCAATAATTTGTGATATATGCGGAACTGAGAGCTTCCCAAATCGCCGTACAGTACCACAGTGCGGGTATTGTTCTCACTGCCAGGAAATATGTGATCAAAGCTGTAGGTGACAACAGGAGCATCCAAGCTTCCCTTTGCGAGCGGTAGTTCCAACTTCTTCTGCAGCTCGTTGAAGCTGCAGGCCAGTTCGGAACCCACCTGGGCAAACGTGAAGCTCTGACAAGAGCCACTGCTCCTCAGTTCCTCGGCCAACTGGAAGTGGGTCTGGATCCGGGGCGTCAAGCTGTGCATGGATACCACCAGCTTGAGCAGGGGCAATTGGGGGGAACTCACATGGCTCTTGACCAGCTCCAAGGCGGCATTGTACTGTTGCGACTCGGTATCTAAAAAGCAAAAATATAATCAGAATAATAATTTTCATTTTTGGGAAAGATCACATTATAAGGCTTTGGGAATTGGTTCTCTTGTGTTTTATATTCTAAACTTTTAATTAATTTAGTCTTTTCCTAACAAATAACATGAGTGGGTAAAAATAAATTGGATTCACATTAAGTAAAATAAAAAAGCTTTTTAATGCGGGTTCTTCATGACTTATTTAAACAAACCATATTCATTGAGAACCGTGTCCAACTTGGTCACTCCCGAAACGTAATCCCAGAAGAGGCCCGCCTGCTCATCGGCCAGATACTCGGCAATTTCCAGATATAGGGGCGTCTGCGTCCATTTCGCGTTGATCAGCGTGGTGATGGGATAACTCTGACTGGATTCCCCAGAAGTCGGCGTATATAGTGCTATGAGCACCACAGACACACACAAAGCCACGGTGCGTAACATGGTTTCCACTCGTTTTTACGGGATTTTCACCACGCACATCACGGATACGAAAAGTAGAGAGGAACTTAAGGCTTCCCTTCCCCGATTATTTGACTTTTCACCAGTTTTCCGCTGGTTTTAGCCCAGTTTTTCTTAATTTGATTTAGAACTGATGTGGCGTTCGTTGATGAACCGGCATGCCGCAGTGTGACCAGACAACATTAGAAAAGCAATCGGGGTGAAAAAAATATTTTAATTTAAGTATTTCAAGGACAATATTAATACGCAGATTTTGTTGCATTCAAATAATAAAAAAAATTATTGAAACATAAAATTTGTGCAATACCGAAGTACAAAACTTACTTTAAAATAAAAAATGGTAAAACAATTTTTGAGTGGTATTTTCCCATACCCGTTGTGCAACTACTATCACTCTAATTTGTTTGTTTACAAATTTCAGCGCGAATTTCGCGACCAAAAATATTGTGCAAATTACTGCCAATGAAATATACTTTAGAGGGCAGCAATGCTAGGGGTACCTAATGAAAAGCTGAACAACTTATTCCTAACTAATTTTATTCATTTTTTTAGTCATCGCCAAAGCCGTTCAATCTCTGTCCAAGGTGGGCAAAGAAATGTTCATCGAGATAGACCAGCAATCCTTGCAGATGCGGGCCATAAATGCCACCCAATCCGCAGTGGGCAGCATATCCTTTAAAAGATCTATGTTCGAGGTGTACGACATGCCGCCGCACTCAGACTTCTACTGCAAGATCTCCATGAAGGGATGTTTGGCCGTGTTTCGCAACATGAATGAGGTAAGTTCAAAGGTATGCACACTAGAATTAGTTATCAAAAATAATATGTTCCAGGTGGAGTACTGCGAACTCAACTTGCTGGACAACCAGACCAACCTGCAGGTGAATCTCCGCTGTAAGCTGGAAACCACAAAGGAGGCCACAATTTCCATCATAGACGACCAAAACATTAACACAAACATAAACACCGATCAAATGCCCAATATGTAAGTTTTGTTCTAGATATGAAATCTATATCCTTATTATACAATTTAAGACTAACTAAATCATAATTTATTACATAAAGCATGTATACACAAAATTCTTATAATCACCTTATCTTCCTTTTCAGAATCCGTGGCGATCACAAGCTCTTAACGGATATCTCCAACAACTTTAACTCCTCGGAGGAGGAACTAACTTTGGAAGCAAACTCGGGCAGTGTGGTGGCTAAAAACTACATAGAAGGAGCCAGAGTGAATGATAAATTCATGCGCACGCAACTGAAACTTAAGCCCAGTGAGTTTGAGCAGTACCAGGTAACGAAGGAAACGGTCATTACATTCTGCATTAAGGAATTCCGAGCATTTCTTCTCTTCGCCGAGTGCTTAAATGCTTCGCTGACACTGGAGTTCGACGAAGCAGGAATGCCTTTTCTGCTAAAAATTAAGAAGCACGGCGAGGTCGAATGCTTGCTGATCATGTCCACGCTATCCCCGGATGATATAAGCTTTTCGGAAGATTATTGTCAAAAGGATCTGACAGTGCAGGATGAGGATGTACGAGCGGCAGCCTCAAAACGGAAGAGCAGCGCTCCCGGGCCAAATGTAACCAACAAACGCAAAGGCAGCTCTTCAGAACTGGCTGCAGTGCAGCCAAAACGCCGAGTAGAGGAGACCCAATTAGAATTGAGCTTAGATAATCCTCTGTTCCAGTTCCGGGACTCGGAGGCTCAATCTGTCCAGCAGCCTCGCATCCTTGCCGAGGTGGACACCGTGGTTTTAATTGAAGACGAGGCGGAACAAGAGGCTCTCATGCTGGCAGCCGCGGATGCCGCGTTGGAGGCCAGCATTGCACCTGCTCCAGAACCACCAAACAGCACGGAGGTTTGCTTTATCAACACAGACGACTCTCAGCAACATAAACCGCCGGAAAGCTCCTCCGATGAGGATGAAACTATACCCCAGTCACCTGAACGCCCTAACAAGGTGCGAGCCATCTTCTCACGGTGCTTTCAGAGAACCTATGTTCCGCGGGAGCCATCACCCAACACTCAGTTCTATGCACCCAATTCCGATACAGAGGATTAGCCTAGGTTTGATCGTTTATCAGCAAATACATTATACGTCTAAGTTAGGTTGCTTTCTGAATGTTTATGTGCGGGAGGAAGTTGCTGGTAATCACGGCAGACACCCTGGTTTGCAGGTCCTGGGCGTTCTTCTGGGCCTGCTGGAGAGATGTGTGGGCCGACTGAAGACTAAGCTGCGACTTGATGAGCATTTGGTCAGTGGTTACGAGCTGCTTTGAGGCATTTAACACAAAGCTGCGAGTGAAAGAAGTAAGAGATCTCCAAATGGCAATGTTGTTTTCAACTGGAAAAAAGAGTATTACGTTGCAATGTTTGGCCTTACAGGAATGGTGACTTACTTAGCTTCCGCTGGAGCAAATTATTCCGGTAAATGGAGGCCGTGCTGTTGACCTGGTTGCTGCTTCGACGTTGCTCGTAAATGTCTTCATCATCCTCTTCTTCAGATGCTTCGCCCGGAACTTCAGCAGCAAAAATCTGTCACAAACTGGATTTATTATAGGAATGTTAATTATAAATGATATCCCCAATTACCTTATTCTTGTCCTGCAGTTCCTCATCGGATTCAGAGGCTTCCCCGCGCACCAAATCAGCCATCATTCCGCTACTTAAGTACTATTGTAAACAATTTTTATTTACTGCACTTACGGCGCTGCCAGATCAGTTAAAACAACAAGCTGTTGCTCACATATATCTATGTTAACAGATCCATAGGACTATACTCACAAAAATTATTAATCGTAAAACGATAAACAATTTTATTGATATAACCACATTTTTAAAAACTTGTGTTATAATTTTAGCGGAAACCCTGTAATTGCACCCACTATTCAGCAATATTTACATTGCTCAGAAGAAGATTATATTTTATGTAGTGCAACCCATACATTTATAAAGTATTTATTTAGGACTTTGAAGATTAACTAGAAAAGCGTGCACGAACATTTTTACATAAAAAGGAGTTCTGAACAGAGAGTAGGACATTATTTACTGGAAATATTTCTGCAGAGCTCCCGTTTCGAACATTCGCTTGATGTCAGTACCACCGCCAATGAATTTGCCATTGATAAAGACGCGAGGAACCTACAAGTACACAATATATAATAGCCAATCTTCATAAAATAAAATAAAACCCACCGTTCTGGCACCTGTAATCTCGCCCAGAACTGCCTGAATTTCGTTGCCATCGGGATTTCCATCGAGTTCTATTACGGTGGCGTCCACATTGAGCTTTTTGAAGGGCTGGAACACAAAGATGTAATCACAATTTATGACTTTTTAAGGTCTTGTTACTCACTTCTTTGGCCATCGTGCAGTAGGGACAGTAGGTTTTGCTGAATATCACCACTTTATTGCTGGCAATAGTGTTTTCAACGAATTTCGCCTGTTTGGTAGACATGTCGACTATTGGGGATCTCAAAGCGGATCCAACTGCGCCCATAAGTTCGAAATCCAGGAAAGGGTACGGAAACTTGGGGGGCAATGCGGCGAGCAATAAAAGCTGCGATGAGTGTAAGCTGCAGATAATTATCTCTAGTTTAATCAGTTTTTTAATCTCTGACTAATAATCAGCTGTTGTGGCGCTCGCCAGAGCTGCCACGTTGTGAAATTACCATCTCGTAATCATAAACATGTTGAATATTCTATTATTTCCATATATTCATGTAGAGTGCAAGGCATCTATTATTGTGTGCAAATAGGAAAGAGAAATTTGACTATTACAAAAAATTGTTTATTAAACTCTGTCAAAACATTCAGTGACGTTGCCACATCAACGAATTTCATATGAACTAGGGGTATTCCTAAAATTTCGCTTTTACTTTGACTTAATTTTTTAAAATATAGTAATCCGAGATGGTACAAAAATTTGTAAATTACTTTAAAAATGAATATGAATGTTAAAATACTTTGGTATAGATAATTAATTTGTATGCCCGATTCCCTTTAATTTTATAGTCTGAAGATTAAATGCAGTAAGAAAATGCCGTGAAAAAGTTAAGTTGATTTTCAGGATTCCCCTTTAAAATATTTTAACAATAACACTGCTTATTGCACTTTAAGGCACAAATTGTAGTCTTTTGCAAGATGAGCAAATAATGTGAGTTAGCCATTTAGAAATTGCTCCAAAGCATCTTTTGTTTCCACTTCGTTGGCTTCGAGGACGACTTCCTCCAGAGACAACTTGTTGCTGGTGGTTTGAATTTCTAAACAAAAAGGGGCGTTAATTTACTTCTTCATGTCATGTTATGTTATCAGACTTACTTGTCAGCTGGCCATGCTGTTTGTATTCCTCCATATCTCCTCGGAAGGCGTCGTCGAAGACGGCCTGTCGTTCCCTCTGGAGCTTCAGTAGGGTCTGCTCCTGATCTTTGATTTTGGATTGGTGTTTCTGGGCTATTTGCTGGCGATACTGCTCCAGTTCGTTTAGTTTCTTTTGCTTGTGTCGGGAAAGCTGAAACTGCTGCTCGAGGATAAACTCTTGGAGCTCGCACTCCTCGCACAGGTCCTCCAGCTTCTCCAGTTCAACCTCTAATTGCTGACCCATTTCCTCCAGGGAATTAAGGACCTGTGAGCTGGCTTGCAATTGAGCGATCAACGTGGGAATCCCCGCCAGACTGTTGTTCAGCTCACTAATGATCTTGCGCTGATGGCTGGCCTTGTTTTGAAGTCCGGAGATTTGGTTAGCAATCTGCGCAGCCTTCTCAGCGTTTTCTTCGTTGGCGCCATGAATCTTCTGCCAATCATCCTCGTATTTGGCCAGCAAACTGCAACCTACTGCGACATTTAGGTGGCTGGGCACTCCATCGGTTAGCTGAAAGGGAGAACTAAGGGAGAGACTACTGCTCCTGCTGGACGACAGACTCTCGTTGAGGCCCAGTGGCGAAGTGGGGGTCGTAATCCCACTGGCTTGGCTACTCCCCGAGTTCCCGGAACTGACACGCTGGCGATATTGCTGTTGCAGATTCTCCGAGATCACCAGGCCCTCCTGAATCGCACTGCTCAGCTTCTTTTTCAGGTTCCCAAACATCTTGCGTCCACTGATCTCTATTTATCTAACTAAACGATTTCTAATTGTCTTCGCGCTGGCGTTTTCCATCGAAAATTGAGTGGTAAATAAAGAATCAGCTGTTCGGGCAGGTGCCGAGAGAAAATCGGTCAGAGAGAGCAACAATTTGTTACTGTACACAAGAGGCATATCGACTAAGTAAGAGGCCTGGTGCGTTATTTGGATTTTGTAAAACTAAATAAATAAATACCGTTCCAAATCTCTTATTAATTGACAATAATACACTACTTTCGGTTTAATTATTTTATAGTTTTACAAGAAAAATATATTTCTAACATAAGAGGTCTTTAAATAAAACTTAAATAATATTTATTTAAATAGCACTACCCAGCTGTTTAAAAATTCCAATGCGGATAAAATATTTTTACCCAAAGTATAAACAAACGCATTAGGGCTTCGACTAGTTATTCGGTGGTATATATTAAATTTCACTATTTAACTCAATTTGTAATACAACAAACTCGATATGTTTTTTTCTTTAGAACAACGAGTAGCGTCTTTGGGGTTACAATCTCCAATGGTTTCTGTTTTCATATTGTTATAATAACTATATTGTTCACATTTGGGATGTCAATCCCAGTTTGTTAAATATACAATTTGTTTGTGATCTTGTCAACGACCATTTAAATTTGTTAACTACACTTTAGCCTAATTAATCCTCAGTCAGGTCCACTGTAGTGAGAGCTGTAGATTCGTCCACCTGTTTTATTGCGTTATCCAATTGAGACAGATATTCAGGTTCAGACGCAGGTTTATTTTCAGATGCCTTCTTAGGCTCTTCATGGTACGCAATTATTTCAATATCACTATTATTACCAGATTCTAGGGTTATACAGTTGCCGGCGCTGTACTTTGAATCTGAGTCGGAGTCTGAGCTTGAGGAACTGCCGCCGGACTCGGAACTCGAGCTTACATTAATGGTGAGAACATTTTGCTCTTCGTCGCTGGATGAAATGGACAGGGCCTCGGGCTTCTCGAACTTGTCCACCTCTTCGTCGGACATCAGTTCCCTGACTATATCGCTTATAGGAGAGGAGGAGCGTTCCCTAGACTCGCTGGCTTTCTTTTGGGTGTTCGAGTTCATCAATTGACCATAGGCCATGGCCACTGCAAGAGCCATTTGCTTGGAGTGGTTAAGGAATACATCTGAAGGTGCGGGTACATGTAGCGGCTCGCTAAGCGGTATTTCCCGATCGCATTCGCTGCTGCTCTGGCTGCTCCGGCGTCTTCTATGTGACTTTTTGTGCTTTTTGACCTTCTTCTTATGCTTTTTTCGCCGATGTGAACTATTACGACTTCGACTGCGGCTCGAACTCCTGCTGCTCCTACTTCTCCTTCGGCTGCGCTGCTTCTTGGACTTTTTGTGGCGACTCCTGCTACGCCTTCTGCTGGAACTTCTGCTTCTGTCTACACTTTTATTTCTGGGCGCATCACGGCTGTAAAAGTAGTTGGACTTCCTCCTTTCGTATACATCATCCAGGTCTTGCAGCTTCTGCCGGCAATTCGCCTGCGTGCGCTCCCTTTCCCTATCATTATGCCGAATCGCAGTGCTTATGGTGCGGCCAAGGAAGCGTTTGTTTGGTTTGCCCAGAGGATTCACTTTGCGTTCGCTTTGTTTTAGGTCGCTGACACTAGAATTCGGGCCTTCGAGCTCGCGCATCAGCTCGGCAATCGCCTTCCTAAAGTAGGAGTGGAGTATCAATTTTATTAAAAATGTATCGGGTTTTAATATAAATATTTACTTTGTTAGGTCTGCGTCCAAGTCCATTTTTGGTACTTGTTTATGGCATTTAATTAAATACCAATTGCTGAGAAACCAAAAATACCGCGAACGATAAGTGCTACTTATAGGTATTTATTTAAATACTGAATAAATACTACCTATCAGCGAATATCGTACAATGTCGTGAAGAAACACTCTCACAAACATTCTTTTAAATAATATGATTATTTAGTAATGTGGTGGGGAAATAAATTTATGAAAGGCCAAACATTAAGTAATTATAATTATTAGTATATATTTATAATTGATTGGCATTATGTGAACGTAAATAAGGCGTACTTTATTACCAGTATTATCACCAGTTACTTTGAAGTGTCATTGGAAAAAAGTTTAACTCTGGTTTTTTAAACCTGTCTTAAGGTAATTGATTTGTTGGACTTTTTCACAATTTTTCGATGGTTTACCAACAATCAGTTAATGGGAATTCAGCAACTAAATAACTAAAAGATATTGGCTCATAGGTATATAAGCGATATTCTTGTCGATGAATGTTCTCAGAGTAATTATATATACCAACGATATCGATTGGCACAATCATCGATATCAGTTTAAAAAATGGCGAGCGGCCACAAAAAATGGGTTTCTTATTGGTTAAAGTAACGTTTATTGGAAAAGATCACATAATAGACTACGACTACGATATCACAGGAGAATCACAATCTCAATGTTCCAGATTCCTGGCCAACTATTTCCTGCTTGCTATCACCTTCTGCATCCAGGACACGTATTTACTGACGCGCGTATAGATTCCGGGCAAACCTGGACGAGCACAGCCGATCCCAGTGGACACCACGCCCACCAGGTGATGCTCCTTGGACATCAGCGGACCGCCAGAATCCGCCTGTGAAGGTAAGTAAACCCGAAGCATAACATTTGTGCCGTATCAGCCAAGTGTATACTCACCCAACACGAGTCGATTTGACCGTTTTCATACCCGGCGCACAATTGCGTCTCTCCAATGGTATTGCTCTTTCCCAAAGATCTGTAGGACCTCTCGCATGCCTCATTGTTCCATATCTTTACGGTGGCCTTGCGCAGAACATCCGATCTATCGTTTTCCGCCTGGTTCTCGTGCGTCCAGCCCCAACCAGAAACAGTTCCGTACTCCTGCTCCAGACTTCGGTGGCCCTCTTCGGATCCCACGCAACTGGGCTGGATGTGGGATGAGAATCGGATTGGCTGTACCAGCTCTAGAAGGGCTGTAAAAATATCCAATGTTTAATATGTGTTGATATCCAGTTCGTTACAAAAAAAGGTTAGCCTTTAAGTTATCTAATAACCTAATATTTTTTTTTTCGTCATGAATTTTTAAACTTTTTAGCTTTACCTTTATTTTTTTAGTGGTATTCGATTTGATGCAAGCTTTACATTCGTTTTAACTGAAAAATCTTTATTATTCAGTTCTGTACACGGCATATGGAAGATAGTGAGCTTGCATTTTCACATTTTTTTCGAGAAGTGAAGTATTAAAAGTGGGTTGACTTGCGGAATAAAAAAACCCAAAATATAAAAGCACATATGTACATACCTATATCGTGTTTCACATCGTTGCAGTCGTATTGCGGATGGGGCACAATGTTCTTGAAGTCCACCCTCAGTGCATCCGGACCGTTGCCAATCCCGTTGAGGTACTCCCTAATGCTGTGCAGACCCACAACTCCTTGGATTTGAGCTGGTTTCATGAACTGCTGCAATCCATTGCAGATGCAGTGTCCCGCCGTGAGGATCCACCGCTCCGAGATGATAGTGCCGCCACAAAAGTGACCACCTCGACGCATCAGACTGACCATAAAGGGCATTTCGTTGCGCTCCGCCTCACTGCCTCCCACGATTTTTGGATTTCGAACCGAGCATGGCTGATTAGTAACTATCATAGAAGTGAGTGGAATTTCGATTTTTTTAGTAAGGCAAGCTTTTATAAAATTCGGAAGATCTTTTAAGATTGGGATGGCCCAATGGTATAAGCTTAATTCACTTTATAGTCAAAAGCTGCGAAATTGAATGAAATATCACAAGATAAACGATCAAAGAGTTCCGATGAACCTCCAATTTTAAGAACAACTATCCCATTTCATGCAGCACCTCAGTTACATTTATTACTTTATCACATTTATTCAGGCAACTCACAAGCAATTTGGGACTGTCCACACTTCACTAGCGACAGAATCGCGAATGCGAATACGATTTTGAACATTTTCTGTGTACACAACCAGAGTTCTGAGCACCAAAAACCCGTTAAGCACGGCTCCAGCTTAAACAAAACTGCCACAAAAATTCTGTGCGCCAATTAATTTATATATAGGTGTCTAGGCGTCCTCTCCGTTCCACTGACTTACTTCACTGTCGTCCGGAGTTCTATGCGGATTAGCCGGAAAGCTCGCTCTCTTGGCCTGATAACAAACGGAAGTCGCAGTCGGGCCTTTGGCACCTGTTGCCTCAGCTGTGAGCTTTTTTTCACGCTGCACTACGAGTACCTGTCTCATCGCCGTTTTTGTGTGGGATTGTGGGTATGGGTGCCATGTGCACACGTTGTGGCATTTCAATGGCCTGGTCGGGGAATTAAGGAGCTGCCAAAAATCGAAAACAAACCCAAAAGTAAACAATGGCCGCAAATAAAGTTTTGTATGTTTTGCGTTTTATGACCCAGCGAAGTTCATGACATTGAATAGTGCGCGGCAAAAGGTGTGACAATATTTATGCTGAATTTTCGATGCCACCTCTACGGGATGTTGGCGCTCAGTTTATTGCTCTTTTATCCTTATATTAGTTCATTATTATTGCGATTAACACGTATTTAGGGTGTTATTGAAATTGTTGCATGATTAATAATAAAAATTGAGCAATTATTACGACTTGTTAATCAACTGGAAAGCGATTGCGTAACATTGGAAAATAACTCCGGAACTCCGGAAAATAATATAATCTTATAAAAAGCACTCTTTTGGTTATAAGGATCTTTTAATAAGATTGCACATCAGTGTATATATTTTATTTCCGTATACCTATATCTCTTTATATCCGACTTCAGTTTTGAAGATTTGGATTGACTGTAAAGTTGTATTTGGTATAATTGTATTTGGTGTAATTTCCTAGACCTTCGCAGATTTGTGTAATCGTTACAGTTTTGTCATTGCTGCCTGCATTTGACACAATTAGTTCTCACATGCAGCTAACCTTAGACGTCATATTTCCATCAGTTTGGACCTGGTAGTAATCGGGTCTGTTATGCAAATTAGGATGTCTGCGTTGCATATGAATATAGCGATGGGACCAAAAATTAATTGAAATTCAATGTCGGCGCAATCAATGTAATATTAGCCGCTTGACATTAACATTGCCCTTAAAATTAACGCGTGGCCCACACACTCAATGCAATTGGCGACATGGGAAGGTTGGTACTATCCCTCACACATCAAAGCAAAGAATGCAGGTGGAAGTGCAATTTGCTGAGACATTTAAAACAGTAATGCCATGAATATTAGGTATTGCATAGACAAAGCAGGAATTGAAACTGAAAGTTAAGACGAAGTATGACAATTCTGCAGACCAAGGCATAAATAATTCATTATCCACAATCTCGATTCTCAGTCAGAGCAGACAAATCAGTTCAGTGGAGCACGCAAATACGCCAGAATATTAATTGATTTTTTGACTTTGGTTCCTTAACCGAAAACCAGATACCATCCCATTCGAGTTCATTGATCGCGGCAGCTCTGTTTCGCACTAAATGCTAATTCACAGCAAATCGCCCATAAAAAACACTATCCATTGTCTGCCGTTGACTTGCGATACCAAATATAAACAATATTAACAAACACGAGTGCGGGGCTCCACAGAAACAAGTTTCAGGCGCATTGACACCCACCTTTGGGCGAGACTTGGGCGCATTCAATGTGAAGGTCGCTTCGATTTGAGGTACTTATGTTTGACAATTGTCGTATTGTTATTTCGCTACACTTTTGTTTTCATTTCGACGAAGTTCATCGACGCCGTTCTCTGGTGACTAATGGCAAGGGGGAAGTCTTTGGATGTCGCTAATGCGGGTGTGTTTCGAGCTATAGGAAATGTTTTGGGGCGCAGTGAACCCGTTTGACTGCAAGTTTTCGAGAGAGAATCTCGAATGTGTATTGGGTTCTGAATAAAACATTTAGTACGGACGCTTAGTTATAAAATGCAACTGCCTAGAATCGTATGAATTGCAATATAACTTATTTAATTTCAATTTAATTGTAGCTTATATCTTAAATTTGTCAAATATTAAGTGCCTCTAACTATTAGGCAGTCCTCAGCCTTTCAGTTTTATATATGTAAGTACTTTCATTTTACCTAACCAGATTATCTAGTAACACTAAGAAACACTAAGAAATGGGCACAAAGATTAAACTTGTTTAATCAAGATGCATACATTTAATCTAAGTATTAATAATAAATATTGAAATATATCGAAAGTACCCTATTACCTATAATGTTTTGCAACGCTTGATAACGTTTGAATAATCTGAAAAGTATTTTATTCGTTCATGTAAAGCTACCAGCTTCCTTATAATGTATTTTATAATTATCTATTTATAATGTATTTTTCATGTTTACTTACCAACACGAAATGCAGTCAAATCTTCAGCGTTGTAAGGATCACTTATCTGGTTTCAATTATTGCTCGAAAGCCAGCTGTTAGATAATAGGGCTTTCTGAGCAACAATCAAAATTATATAAGTGTCCGTGTAGGAACTCTTATATAAAACAACCAAACTTAGCCAAAGGGTTAACACAATTTGGGGAATCACAATGCACTAGCTTTTGGAACTCTACTCTAGGCAGGCCAACACGTCTGTTCGGTGTGAGAGCCACACCGGAACTGCAATACGCTTGTCCAGCCGCTGACGTTGTATCCTTGTGATCCTGGCACCAGCTGCCAAGCAACACGGGCGCAGTGCCTTCGCGAACCGAGCGGAAGCCAACAAGGAAGCAACATCCCTCGTTGTCGGCGGCTTTTATCCTTTGGGCCTATGCGGCGTATGCGTGTTATGCAAACGACCGCAGCTCGGCT